GTTAGGAGGCTCATCAGTTGTTGGAGTGGGTGGAAATGAGGGTGGGATGGCTCAACAAGCCACCCCTCCAGCACCTTCCCCTGCTCAGCCACAGTCAGGTGCACCAAGTGGTGGTCAGCCTGGCCCCCAGGCAGCAACTCAAGGGGGAACCCCAGGAGGAGCACAGGGTGGGGCTCCTACAACTGCCACATCAACTGCAGACCCTGAAAAGCGGAAGCTGATCCAGCAGCAACTGGTTCTTCTTCTGCATGCACATAAGTGTCAGCGCAGGGAAAGTCAGTCCAATGGAGAAGTATGGCAGGTGTGTATAATTGTGTGTAAATTTTCACCATGCAACCTTCAAACGCTTTTATAGCGAGAACTTAGCTGTAGTTTGTATTTGTGATGGGTCATCATTAATTAATTACTTATGTAAGATGTACAAAAGTTTGTTTAAAAAATACATGTGATGTGTATGATATCTTGATTGAATTTTGAATATCCATGAATGTACATGAGTTAATTAAAAATAATTTGAAATTTGTACCTAATCATTTGTGGGAAAATATTTGACAGATTTTGAGTTCTTATTGATCAGGAGCAAGGAAATACTTTATTCTCAGTGCATTTTTCTAAAAATCCGAGAAATACAAGGCTAATGCTAAGAAAAATGTATAGATGCAGGTAAGGTGAATATAAATAAATCCTCCCTCTATTTGAGCAGTGTGACAAGGTGGGTCATTAAGTGGCTGTAGTTCCACGGGGAATGGTCTTTCCCTCTTTCCAACAGTAACTAAGAAAATTTAATCTAGATCTTAAATTTCTGGTCAACTTTCTTTGTGTTGCAGCACAGTATGTAATTCTTAATGGTGTCGATGCACAGGGTTTTACTATTGCCTTTTATTCTTGTTTCAGTGTACACTGCCACATTGTAAAACAATGAAAAATGTTTTAAACCATATGACAACATGTCAAGCAGGCAAGTCATGCTCAGTTCCACACTGTTCCTCGTCTCGACAGATCATCTCACATTGGAAACACTGCACACGAACAGACTGTCCTGTTTGTCTGCCACTCAAGCAAGCTGACAAGAACCGTAATAACCCCAATGGTAAGCCTGTTGATTAAAAAATTAAATCCTTGGCGTAACAGCTCTAGAGAGCCAAAGCCGACTAGCTTGACTGCTGGTCTCACGTTCACAAGCCTAAGCACAGGTGAACGATCATCCAACCAGGTATAGTGTGACGTGTGGTCAGCACGACGAACCCCCAGCCATTGCTAGCTTTCCTGACCAGATTACGCTACTTATTGTAGCTCCCCAATTTCCTCACGATGCTGGGTTGGCACCGGTCGAAAGCTCACGAGAAAATTTCTTCTCCCCCGAGACTCGAACCAGCGCGCATTCCGTATTGCCGGTCTGAAGTATGATGCCTCAGACCGCGCAACTATGGCGCGTGACAAGCCTGTTGATTACTTTTTGGTAATTGTTTTTATCTTCTACACTTACGCAAATTTTGGATTTGCTAACCTTCCAGAAATTCTGAGGATGTTAGTGACCAATGAGTGTCCAGTGTTGTGGATGGTGCAGAAGCTTCCAGTTTGTTTGTCTACTTTCCATGCCTTCTTTGAAACATGCTTGAGAAAATGCAGCATAGCAGTGAACTAATTTTGTTTGATACCACCTATAAAGCAGCTATATTGTGTAACATGTTTAGAAACGACATAAGAACTTAACAGTTTGTTGCAGTAAAATTCACTAAATGTAAAATTACTGAATATGTGCATTAGCTATTAAAAATATGTAGTGTCACAATGAGGTAGCTGCAGCAGCCTAGTGAGCCATGTGATTCCTACCTCTGCAGCAATTGGAATGTGGAGGTGTGTGCAGTGCTCAGGGCATCACCACGTGCCATGCACTCATTTCTAGAATGGCCCCAGCATGGACCTAAACAAACTCAGCTAGACTCAGGAGGGGGCTCTTTCAAATAGCTACAGGACCTGTAAAAGACTAGTTGCTGTGCAGAAGCTTAATACTTTGAGAATCTAGTTGTGTATGGGCCTGGTTATGTAGCATTGTGTTGTGTGTATGTGCAGGCATGAAGAAGAGAAGAATTTATAACTGATATCAAGTCGGCATCTGTTACAAGGCTGTGATACATATATGACAAACTGCACTCAAGAATAATAATTCAGTTTAATAAAAATGACTAGAATAATTACAATTTTGCTTTATTTCACTACGAAAGGAGGGTGTATGATTGATGTGATTGAATTAATTGAATAAATGTAAGTTACTAAATCTGGAATAGTTAAAAGCACCAGATGCATGCATTCATATCTGGTACTGTTTTCTGTAGCTGGGACTTTGTCTGTGGTGTCATTACAGTGCCAAGTCAAGCACCAAACAGCCAACCGAATCCTTCTCCCTCAGACATGAGGCGAGCATATGAAGCCCTTGGAATTCCATCTCCTAACCCAGGGGCCCCAGGACTGTTGCCCCCAGCAAGTGGTGGGGTTAGTCGCCCTCATCGCTTGACAGGAATAGCTGTTGGTCCACTCCCCCCGAACTCGACTGCGGGTCCAGGAGGTAGTGTGAGAGTTCTTCCACCTCCGCACCCACAAGGTAGGCACAGACATATAGTCCTCACTCCACTCCTGATGAAATTTCACACTTCAACTGTTACCCTAAAAACCTGTTTCATAAGCTGCATCTAATATATATATTCAGATGTGGTTTTGTACTGCAGCTGGCAGTACAGGTGAGTAGGCATGTGTTATAGATCAGAGTTTCTTGACCCCCTCCTAAAATGTTCTACATTTTTATTCAGTAGATTGTAGATTAAAATTTGAATGGATGGTATAGTATTTTCATTGTGCTTTCTACTTCAATGTGAAAGTAAAATATGTGATGAAAATAAGCTTAACTGTTACAGAAGTACAACATAAAATGTAGATTCTACTCAGCCTAGATCCTCATTTATGAAGAACTGTAATAAATGACTGAATTTGCCTTTTAACTGCCATGCTTTCTTTTTTGACCCTTTGTATGACCACTGTTTCCAAACTAAATATCTCCTTGGATCATACAAATGTGACATTACTATTAAAACACACCATTTAAAATTATCTGAGAAAAGAGATGAATAAATCTGCTGCTTTTGTTTGCCACAAGTTTCTTGTGCGCAAACAATATTAATATCCCCATTAAAGAGTGGCTTTATTGTATTCTTTACTCACAGTCAATTGCTGGCTGTTAACAGGTCAGCCTCAGACACAGGTTCCAGCAGGCTCACAGCAGCAGGTGCCCCCCAATGTGTCTTTACCCCTCGGGAGTGATCCTGGAGCAAATCCCAGTCAACCCCCAGGACAGCAGGGACCAGCATCATCTGCAGCGCAAGCAGCTGCTAACATCCAGCAAACAGTTTCCCAAATATTCGGCCTGTCAAGTGACCCACAGGGTGGCAGTGTGAGTAGTTGCTGCAGTACAATCCCAGTTTTAAAACCCTCAAAGAACATTTAACTTTCTACTCTTCCAAAGTATATATTTGCAAGTAAAGTCTAGTCAGATTTAAGCATGGAACCTTTAAATCAGAATATCAATTAAATAAAATAAGTATCTGCTTTCCATGACACTGCAGCACAAATAATAAAGTAAAATAAAATATATGGTGTACACTTTTAGCATACCTGCTGGAACTAGGCTTACATGACAGTTCTCAGTATTAATGGAAATTTATTCCTGTTGTTTTTCACATTTCTGCAGGTTTAATTTAAATTTAGATGTGAGAAATAAGACCATGATTGAAGTTATAATTTTTTGTGTATCTGTCTTTGTACATATTTAGTTAGGTATGGATAACCGGTTGACTAGTCTGCAGCTTCCGGGAGGACTACAACCTGGCCAGGTCACAGCCACCCCAGTTCAGGGAACAAAGGAATGGCACCAGTCTGTTACTCCAGACCTTCGTAATCATCTTGTACATAAGCTGTAAGTTAACGGTCTGATTAAACTCTTTGTGCATAACAAGGTGCTTAATTCTTGATAATATTTCAGCTTAAGTTGCAGTGCTTTTCAGATTATGTCTTTTCTGCAATATTTGTAAATGTTAGGTGCTGTGTACGGGCTTTTTACAAGCAGAATTCTGCCATTTGCTTCAGACATTTGTATTTTGTCTCTAGTTATTGTGTCTGTCAATTTTGGTGACAAGATATTTCATGAGTGTCAATTTTCAGACATGTGAAATATACTTTAATTTGGTTTATTTTTCTGTTCATTTCACAACAAAAAAAGTGTGTGTGTGACTTACATACTGTAGTTTGGACATTGTTTTTCAGCGGGTATCTGACATAATACTTTCTGTTTTCAGGGTTCAGGCAATCTTCCCAACACCAGATCCACAAGCAATGCTCGACAAGAGAATGCACAATCTTGTTGCGTATGCTCGCAAAGTGGAAGGGGATATGTATGAAATGGCAAATTCAAGGGTATGTTCATGTTTCTGTCTTTTACTTCACTAATGTTTCTTATTATTTATTGGTACTCATCTGATTCCTGCTTATTTTTCAGTCTGAATACTACCACTTACTAGCAGAGAAGATTTACAAAATCCAGAAAGAACTGGGTAAGTTTAAGAATTTGTGTGTTCTCTGCCTCTAAACTATGTCTAACTTTGATGCACCCATAATTTTGAAGTCATAAAGTTTTGTGCTTTATTCCAGTAGTTTCTTATAACCTCAGAAAGAAGGAAGTTCTGAAACATGTGATGTGATTTTTAAATATTTTTCTGTAACTAAAAGCAATGTGTTCTCAAAATGGTGTGTGTGTGGTGCACAGTATGCTTCCAGGCTTAATGGTTAGATAAAAGTCATAGTGTGCTCACCAGGAACCATTCATCATAACATCCACACATGCAGAATTGTATCATGAATGGCAGTGTTATAATAATTATAGAAACAAATGCTGCCGTTTCTTGCTGCAAGTGATTTACATATCTTAACTTACAAATCTTGTGTTTTGGGATCTTTGTTTCCAGTATTTACACCTCATCCACAGTTTTCAGTATATCATGTAACCATATTACATCAATATTACACTGTGGATACAGGTGCTGATAATGAATTCCATGTTTCCATATTCATTAAAGTTGAAGTTTCTTTGCAAGAAATGTACCTTGTGAATTAAAACAAGATTTTATTTTGCTTGTAGAGGAAAAAAGGCAGAAGCGCAAAGAACAGCAGCAGCAGCAGCAACAACAACAACAACAACAGCAACAGCAACAACAGCAACAACTACAGCAGCAGCAGCAGCAAGTTCAGCAGCAGCCACCGCAGATGCGATCTGGTGTTCCTGGTTCTGTTCCCACTCGCACTGTTGGGACAGTGCCACCAAATATGCAGGCAACACCTCAATCAGGCCTTCCTGGCCACTCACCAGGTCAGTGAAATTGTTATTCAAATAATAAAACTTAATGTAATTGGTGAATTTACCTAAAAAAGCCTAAATTTGTGCCATGTACTTCCTAAAAGTATGACACTTATAAAACAAAACATAAATATGAAAGGTATTTGAAGTTCTAATATTCTTCTCAGGTATGAGCCATGTGCTTCCTGGCCTCGGTCCACAGCAAAATCGCATGCAGTTTTCTCAACCGGGTCAGCAGCAGCCACAACAGCAGCATTTAGTGGTGGGTCCACCTGGGCCCAGTCCAAACAGTACCTCTGGTACAACTCAAGGCCCTCCAGGTAGCATGGTGACAGTGTCTGGTCCAGGACTGTCAGCTTTTGGTCAGCCACTGTCTCAAGTACGTGTAGTTTTGAGAAAGCTAACCTTGTTGTGTATATGCAGTTTATTTCTGATTATCAAACTTCTCAACATTGTTCGCTTTAGTTTTTTTTTTTAATTATTATCACTAGAAAAGCATTCTGTGGTCCTAAAGAAATCATGATGTAGATGTGGGATGTAAAGGAAATTATTAGTTGAATAACTACATCTAAGAATTTTATGTATGCAAATAATTGGATTATTTTGCCTTTAAGTTGTGTATTGATCTCTTATAATTGGGTAAATATGGCGTACCATCTACATTAAAGTAAACACAGAAATTGAAGGTAACAAAAGGAGAAAATATTGGGAAAGGTGCTAAGGATTACTATTGATCTGTGAATTATTTCTTTAGCATTTCTTTATTCTGAAACCATTTGGCATGGACATGAAATGGGAATTTGTTGATGCTTCATAATGAGCATGGTTGATCCTCAGGGTCCACCACCGAACATGACGATGGCATCTGCCACGGCTGCAACTAATGTGGCAGCTGCTAGTCAGTATGCAGCCAACAATGGTGTAGGCACTGCAGGATCTGGTGGCGCTAGTGCTGGTGGGGTCCCAAGCAGTCCGGCCGCTCCTAGTCAGCAGCAGCAGCACCAGTTCCCGGATGTGATCAAAGCTCGCCTTGCGGTTGCTGCGGCAGCTGCTAACTCAAATGCTGTACAGACACAGGTATGTGCCATCTGCCAAGGGGTAAATGTGTTGGCTTCATAAATAAAGCTTTTGAATTAAAATTGCATTTATTGTTTGTGTTACAAAGGGACAAAATTATGACTCTTTTGAACTGTGGCAGCTGATGGGTTCATTGTCCCGTCCCATGGGTGATACATGAGTGATTAGGGAACAGTGGTAGAATGGCGGATGAATGATATTTTTAATTAAAGAACTTTTTGTACAATTACTGATGGACCTCCCTGTACTGTAGAGATATAATCATCCATTTTTGTAATGGCAGAAGGAAGCAAATTGTGTTTTGATTTTATTTAGAGGTTTTAATCACTAGTGCTGTTCTAAATTCTGTCTGGAGGCAGCAAGTGAATTCTCATTAAAGTATGATGCCAACATTGTTTTTCTCTTCTGTTTGTCTCAGTCTGCTGCATCACCATTTGGTCTTCAGAATCAGTTTCCTCCTACTTCAGCTTCAGCAACAGTTGCCGGTAATAGAGTTCCTCTTCCTCCCCCAGCATCCACACCCACTTCCTGTGCTACGTCTACTTCTGACGTGCAAATTAACTCATCACTCTCTTCCCAAGTTCCAACATCTGTCTCTGTATCAACAACATGTGGACCTTCTCCTTCAACAAATGTAACAAATGGTAGCCTCCCTCAACCCAATTCTGCCACAATATCTGTTACAACACCAACACTAGTTCCTTCAAGTTTACTACAAAAACCAGCAGCTTCAGTACCTGGGACAACTGTTGCAACGCAGCAGCAGTCATCTATGCAGAGCAATCTGGTGTCAGCAGCATCCAATTCAACCTCAACAGTAGTAGCTGCCACCATGAATCATCAACATCTCGCAAGTTTGGGCAAGGGCATGTCCAGTGCAGAACGAGCCAGTCTGGTGAGGAGTAACTCGTCCAGCATGTCGAGCCAGATGGCAGCCATCAATGCAGCAGCTCGTAATCAGGCATGTTGTTTCCGCTTAGTCGTCTCAGTGTGAAAGAAAAATAGTGAAATTTGAGTTGGTGCCCTGAAGTTGGAAGTAGTATGTTCATCCAAAACATTGGTTTCTTCCTACAAGTCCATGTGGTGTTTCAATCCAAATGATCAGTATCTATGTCTTTGCTGCCATGAGAATTCAAACTCTTACTTTTTTATACCAAAGCCTGCTTGCTGTAGGGGTCTGGGGTTTTTGTTCAATGTGTTTTTTTTATTTTATTTTTGTGTGTGTGTGTAATTCTGGCTGCTTAAGTTATTAGAGACAATTGATTGAAGATGATGTGACCTTTCCTGAAAGCCTCTTTTGATTTTTAGGATGACGATAGTCCACCACCTTCGACGAAGGGTAAATTAGATATAAAGGTTGAACCAGAAGACAGCATAAAGATGGAAATGAAAGCACAGCATAGTGACTGCAGTCTGGAGATGAATCATCGTGAAAGTGGTGGGAAGGGCATGAATGCCTCTGACTCAATCAAGACAGAACCTAAGACTGAGCCCATGGATGAGGGCAGCACCACCTCCGAGAACTCGGCCACAATAAAGGGTGAGTTTCCAGATATCTCTTCACAAACAGGAATGCTGTGTTGACAGACCACAAAAAATAAGGAAAGTAAAAAGTTCATGCATTTAAAAAGCTGTTTTAACAACAAGCCTCTTGTTATAGCCAATATTATGACAAAATTTTACCGTGCATAAAAATGCTGAAGAAATTGTAACTCAATAAACTGTGTGTGTACTACTTCCCTCCATTATTCCCACATTTTTTATTATTACCAACTTCAAAATGTTCATTGTCTTTTTTATGTAAACTAAAAGGGATTTTAGTGACATTGCACCAATATTTTGATAATTTAGTAAATGTATAAAGCTTATTAACTAATCTTTGTAGCATTTTAAATTTAACACGTTATCTGGTGTAAACAAAATCATGTTCATCTCGTATGACAACTTATTTACCACTGAGCATTATCATAGAAAGGAGTTTGTAATTGATTATAAAAGTGAACTGTACTTATCATCACTTTCACTTTTGCTCAAAGTGATATTTTTATTACTATTTTTGTATAAAATTTTAATTGATCTTAAATATACACTTCGTCTCTTGCAGAGGAAACAGCCATAAAGGAAGAGCCTATGACACCTATGTCAACGTCTAGTATAGGTGAAGGTGTCAGTACTAGTGCAGACATAAAACCTCCAATTCCTGAACCTATTCAATCTGCTGCAGGTGGTGATAAAAAGAAAAAGTGCTGTAAGTTTCGTATAGTGAAGTAGTCTCAGAACAGTATCAACAGTAAACAGAGTCAAGGAGTATGAAAATTTAAACTATGTTGTATGCAGTTTTCATATAAGTATTCAAAAATTGACTCAGAAATTCTGTTAGAATACATGTACTCGGCATGAAAAAATTCTGACAATCTTGTTAAGAGATTAATCTGTGTGTACTCTGACTTTGTTGCCAGAGGTACTGGGGAGAGCATTGAAGTGTGCTTCATATTTTAGAATGCAGTACAGAACATAATTCCTGTTACCTTGTACGAAATGAGCTGTGGACTTTCTCTGATTGTTGACAGTGTTCAAACCAGATGAGCTGCGGCAAGCTTTGATGCCAACGCTAGAAAAATTATATCGTCAGGATCCAGAGTCTCTTCCTTTTCGACAGCCTGTTGATCCACAGGCACTTGGTATTCCAGATTATTTTGACATTGTGAAAAAAGCAATGGATCTTTCAACTGTGAAGCGGAAACTGGATACAGGCCAGTATTCAGATCCGTGGGAGTATGTTGATGATGTTTGGCTTATGTTCGATAATGCTTGGCTGTACAACCGCAAAACCTCACGAGTGTATAGATACTGTACCAAGGTAAGTTAAGCAGGTGTTTTATTATAAGATATTATGAAAGTTGCCTTTGTGCTTTTTATTTATCCATATAAAATTCCAGCTTTGTATTCTTCAGTAACTAGTAACATATGTCACCTTCCCTTACAGATGATGTTTGAAATATTTAAATGAATTTATCAGTGTTAACCTGTAGGAATAGAAAATATATACACAGTCTGTGGTGTTTCTATACAATTACCTACAGTTCTTGATTTCATGTCTGCATTTTTAGGATAATATTTGTTGAGGTATGGTTATACTGCGTGAAGGCATCAAACCCATTGAATGTGCTTTCAGGAGAGGGAAGTACCTAAATTCACTGTGTGATTCAACAAAGAAATGACCTATTCCTCAGCAGGTAATTGTCTGTAAACAGTGGTGACAGTGAATTTAAAATTACAAAAAATGTGGCAAGTGCATTTTCAGTGGGAATGAAATTGTATATGATTATTTTAATTTTAACCTTTTAGTTAAATATGATGTTATATTTTTATCTTGGAAAATTATTTATTCAACCAATATGCACAGTTCATAACACTTTTGTGTGTTCAAATTTATATAACATGTTTATTTCGGTCTCATATTTCCTGGAGGCATTACAAATATTTTATTCACTACTGTTTTCAGATTTACATTTTAATTGCATCCAGTTTCTATTTGAACATACAATGAGTGACATTATCATGGATTTTGATTTTGTAGGTATTAAACGTTGTATTTCTTCACGTGTCTGCCCTTAAAAGCTACATCACCTTGAATACTTATAAACTGTTCAGTAAAAGCTTTTCGTATGAAATAACATCCTGTACAAAAAGTGAAAAATTATAGTTTCACAAGCACATCATTTTTCTTTAATCTAATGGGCTTTTGTATGGGAAATGCATCAATAGTAAATTTGGTGATATTTTGACTTCATGTCTGTCTTCTTAAATATATTGTTGTTGTTGTTGTTGTTCCTTGGCTCTACAGTACGTTTGTTGGTTTTCCGCCGCTTCCTATTCGGAGGTTTCCTAGTCTTTGAAGTGTGTGTTTGTGAGTAGTGCGTGACCAGCCCACTGACTCTGCACATTTTCTACTCAATCCTGATTTAACTGCCAGAGCCATCTAGCAGTGAATCAGGAGAGACTTGGGTGAGAAATGGCCGCTGAATTTTGCTTATGAAACATCTTGTTATCATGCTCTTAAGGTTCCTTTACATGCCGTAGATCTACGACATGGGACCGCCAGCTTTACTTCCTCTCCGAAGGAAGTTGTGATACCAATTTTTATCACCCTTAAAAATCCATTGACCTCTGTCAGGTTTGAACCCGCGATCCTTGGGTTTAGTGGTTACACGCTAACCACTAGTCCACCGAGACCGACTTCTTAAATATATACTACATGCAAAATATTTCCAGGCAGAAGTTATATGTCTTGACAGACATTTTGTAATTTTTTATATGGCAGGCTACTTTTGAGGAATCCTTGATCAAATCAATTTTGAATATAAATGATACTACGCAATGTAATATTGATTGCAACTTTTCCCTTATATCTCGCAAACACAGGTTCTTCTTGGTGTATGGAACTTATTCTATCTACAGGTTTTATGATGGAATTTGTGTACAGCCAAATGGGTCACTACATGTTGCAATTAGTAGTGTTCTGTTTATTATCACATTCATTACATATAATGCACTCTATATGACTTATTTTATTCTGCACTGGTATAATTTCTCCAAGGCAGCAGTGGACAGCAGCAGAGTTAGTACTGTAGATCTTCTGTAAAGAATGGTGCCTGTACTAATACATACACCACTCTTGAGAGTATGATCCTGAATGTCTGCAATGTTTTCTTTAAATATTTTGTCTTGACTGCGTCTTGGGTGGCCACATTTCTTTCTGTTAGGTGCTACCATGTAAGCTCTAGTCTGTAGGTCACCAATGGCATTATCTTCATCTTGAAAAGTGCTCTTACTCTGTAGTGACAGGAAGCTTCAACAGTTTTATGTCTTGCAATACCCCCATTTCTGTCGTAGAACAAAATTATAATGGTCTGAATGTTTCTACACCATGGAGTTCCTCATATCGTTTACATTGTAGAACTACACAGAATCTTTCTCTGTTATATGCTTGCATTCGTTTATGTGTGATGGTTTGGTCTTGTTGCAGTTGGTATACAAAGTACAGAATGGCAGAAAATGATTTGAGAACCTTGTAAAAATAAATATCAAGATGTGTTCAGAAATGTTTTTGCAGGAGGTTGGTTAGCAAAGTGAGTTGGGAGTAGGTTCATTCTAATAAATTGAGTTGGGGCATATTGTTTGTTTATAAAATACTATTTTGTAGTTGCCATACTGTCATAGGCAGGAAAATACAGTGTTGTTTGTGTTGCTATTTTGTAATGTGTTACCATTTTCTTTACATGGATAGCTGTCAGAAGTCTTTGAGCAGGAGATTGACCCAGTGATGCAGTCATTAGGCTATTGTTGTGGCCGCAAGTACACATTCAATCCTCAGGTGTTGTGTTGCTATGGGAAACAGTTGTGCACCATTCCACGAGATGCCAAGTACTACAGTTTCCAGAACAGGTTAGTCTTGTTTCTAGGTTAGGCATGGACTTAGGTTTAGTTGTCTTCTTTTACTTGTTATGACACACACACACATTATAAAACATCAAAATCTTTGTAAATCACTACATTCATGTGATTGTTAAAACATTAATCTTTTATTGTACATGAATAGGGGATTTAAATCCCTGTATTATGGGGCTGCTGCCCAGACTTTAAGTTCAGCATGGCCAATTTAGTCATGCATTTGATATACAGGCAACTCTCAGTTTACGAACGTTCGATTTACAAACATTCGCTATAACGAACGTCACAATTCATTAAAAATTTCTTAAAGGCGCCTATAAATAGAGTTCCATATAAAATGAAATGCCAAACATGTAGTGAACATAATTGTAAGATTTAAATAAATAAACTTTAAAAAATGTATTTATTACAATAATTATCAGAAAATTATTGTATGATAATTATACTAAACTGTTCTTGGTTAATAAAACTAATCTAGCCAGTAAAAAAGTTTTGGTTTGCATGCTACGTAGAATGTTTTCTCGCATAACGCATACATACATTATAATAAAACGTATTGTATAGACCATTCGATGTTTAGTACATGGTTTTAATGCTTTAAAATGGCTGCTAACATATACGATACTTATCGTAAAACCTCAGGAATGCAAAATACACATAGCGAACAAAAATGTATAACAAACGTCTTGGAACAAAACTTGTTCGTAAACCGAGACTTGCCTGTATTGCAATGGATGATAAAAGTTAATATAGGCAGTAATTTGAATTTGAATGTCAACATGATATGTTAATTGCTTTAAATTTGTTATAAATATAATTATGTCATTCCTTAGAAGTTTGCAGGACTGCTTTTATTTACATAGTTTAAATTACTGATGTTTCTGAACCTGCTTTATAACCCAGCATAACACTTTATTTTTCCATGCATAAACTTTGCATTCCTTATACATTATCATGTTTAACCACTTGTGTCTGGAAAATAAGATTCCTAGTTTTGTTATCAGAATAATAGCCTTATATTTTTTGACTGGTGGAAACACTGGGCAGTTTTCCTGTCCTTTCACACATGCATGTTAGGACTTTCTCTTTTCCAGCAGTCTGGTAGTTTTAACTGCTTGTACACCTGCTAGCCAATTCCTGTGTAATAGCAGATGTTACACTGATCTAATATAGGGTCAGTAAAGTAGTCAGAACTGCAGCAGTTGATAGTCTCTCTTCAAATTATTTCTATAAGTCAAAAAGAATTTTTGGGGGACAGGGGGAGATAAGTGATAAAGACATGAAAGTATTGTGCCTAATTGGGTGGAGAATTCCAAACTTCTGATTACAAGATGCTACTACTGCTTGAATCCAACATATGTTTAATGTCTGTTGTAATTCGCTGTACATCTCAGTCTTTAAATGAGTGTTTTATTGTAAATTGAGTTGCATGGTCACTAAAGATTCTCAGATATATATTTACCATGTTATTTATTGTATTAGTCTTCTAGATTAACTTTATCTTTACACCTAAAGTGACCAGAACTACCATTGTCTTTACCTTCATTTTCTGTTCTGTAAAATTGTTCCCTCCTACCAATTTTGTTTGCTGGCAGTAGGAGAATTGCTTGAAAAAGTTTTGAGCAGTAAAGACAGCCTGTTTTTTGTGAATTTGTCATGTATGTGACTATTTACACACTGTCCTTTGGTATGTGTTTTGAAAAGTACACAGTTCATGTACATATGTTTTTTCATTCTTTAAATGAAAATATGATGACTCATATAAATGCTTTTCTGTGTATTTTGTCAGTGTGCTAAAATTTTGTTTTCCAATTTGCTTTTGATAAATTGAGCTGGAGTACTGACTATTTAATTGGCTGCTGTTCTGTTAACCCTTTTCATGCTGAATTTTATTTAGCAGAAATGTCTGTGTATGTAATCACAATATCTAAAATGTAATTGTTGATAAAAGACCATGGAGGTTGGTTTGAAACAAGACGGTAGGTGACACTTATCATGTAGATAAATTACAGTGTTACAAGGATGCCTTCTTTCAATATTATGCAGAGTAATTTTAAAATTATTGTGCAGTCTATTTATGATTGTGTCAGTCATAATTTCTATTATTTCTATCATTGTTTATTTGTGTTAGTTTTCCTCCTTGCTGGCCATTCTTTTCAGCACTGTGGCTTTGCTTCTTAGTTGGGGAGGGGGGGGGTGAAGCAAAGTATACCAAATAGCCAAGTTTGGTAGGCGCTGATTGGTCCAGTTGTTACTTGTGCCAGTCGGTGCAGTGTCGCATGTTACCTGCCAACTTGTGTGATTTTAATGTAACAGCTTAGTTGTCATGTATGAACAAAAGGCAGACCTATTTGTAAATTAAAGTCTTATTTGTAGCATAGGAAGGGTTGATGGAAAGTTGTATGACCTGGAGCTTTCAGAGCATCTAAGTATAATAAATTCTTCTCAGGCTGTCAAGCCACGTCTGGTGATTGAAAAGCAAAAAATGAACTTTTCAAGAACCATCTTTGCCCTCGTCCCCAGTGTACCAAAATGACACTGAGGATGAGGATGAAGACGTTTCTTGAAACATTGGTTTTTCCGCCTTTCAACCACCAGACACAGATGGTAGCCCAAAAAGAATTTATTATATGATGGAAAGTTGTTTCAAAAGAGACTGTTAGCAGCACTGATACATGTTTTAACTATGATAACCACCTGGTACTAATTTATTCCTGTAAACAAATTGTTCATGTTTGCTTGCTTGCTTGATTTACATTGCTTTTGTAATTTCTTTCCATCCCTCTCACCTTTTCATTTTTCTGTCTCTTGTTTTTGTTTTTACACATTTTCTGCTGCACTCGTTTCCTCCCCTGTGCTTGCCTGGTGCACTGGTTGTGTTTTGTGATTGTGGCTGCCCCTCAAACCTTGGCTTCCTGGTGATTTGGGGATTGGAAATGCCGATAATTGCAGCCTAAAGATACTGGGCCTTCTCTCCGACAGATATACCTTCTGTCAGAAATGCTTCAATGACATCCCAGGGGACACGGTCACACTTGGGGATGATCCCACACAGCCACAGACGTAAGTATCTTTATTAAGAAATACTGGCAGTATTGTTGGTATTGTGTGCTGCCCAGCAGAAAAGGTTTTGTATGTGAATGGAAAGCGGTGACTTTATAGGGATGCCAGGTCAGAATCTACTTCCATTTGATTCAGTTTCCTTGGACACACATTATGTTCCCATTGGTTCACAATACAAAAGCAGCCAGTTTTGTATTAAAATAAGTGATCAGAAAGAGTGGCAAAGAAGTTAAGGAGTGTGTGTCTCTTTTTGTTAGCATTTGCTTAAGAGTTTGCTTGCATCCATCAAAAGTAAGTTGTACCCCAATGGAGTACACAGATTTTGGAAATATTTTCTTGTTTTGTTTTGCATGCTTTAGGAGCCAGGACATTCATTTTTTGCTGACACAAGTCTATAATTTAAAAGTAATTACTCTACAGATAAAGAACATGAGATGTGCTAGAGTAATGTGGCATAAAATCCTAATTAACATGTTCTGTTATATATAAGTGGATAAGAAAATGGATCTAAGGGAAAATTTATGAGATAGGAGGTGGATGGAACATACCCTTTGTTAGTTAAATCTACCTTCAGCCATGTATTTTGAAGATATTTTGAAATTCAGCTATCCATGCCTGCCTAAATCTCACACATTACATCTTCCCTTGAGATTTCCAGACAAAAATTTAAAATTAATTTTTTATTTTCAATATAAGTCCTGCCCTTTTCACCCTCCTTGATTTTTTATCTCTGCTGGTCAATTTGTGTTAATGTATGTTCTGGATTCAATCATACAGAGCAATAAAGAAGGACCAGTTTAAGGAGATGAAAAATGATCATCTTGAATTGGAACCATTTGTGGAGTGTCAAGATTGTGGAAGGAAACTTCATCAGATATGTGTTCTTCACATGGAATCTATCTGGCCTCAGGGGTGAGTAAAGAAACCAAGATGGGTGAAGTCATTATATTATTCCTTGTATTTTTCTGAAAAATAGTTATTCTTTAATTTTTTAATTGGTTGTAATTGTTTCGTCACAGATTTGTGTGTGATAACTGCTTAAAGAAGAGAGGTGCGAAGAGAAAAGAGAACAAATTCAATGCAAAACGGTTGCCTATAACAAAACTTGGGACATACATTGAAACACGAGTCAATAATTTTCTCAAGAAAAAAGAGGCAGGTGCTGGTGAGGTGGCAATTCGAGTTGTTGCCAGCTCTGACAAGATTGTTGAGGTGAAGCCTGGTATGAGAAACAGGTAGGAGAGTATGGGGCTTGGAAACATTTCTAAACCAGTATGTTAATTGGAATTGAAGTGCAGGAAAGAATTCCCCCACTCCCTTTTTTCTTTATTTCAGCATGTTCTCATGTGAATTTCAATGTTATAACAGTCTTGGGTATTTTCAATAAAGTTTACTGTACCAGCAAATTAATATGTTTTAAATGAATTTATCAGCATATTACTTCCTTTTAAAATTGTTTGAAAATAAACCTAATAGCTGCCAACAACATTTTTCATTATGCTAGAATATTAGTTTAAATGGATCTCAAAAACAACCCAGGTGGAAGTTTTCCATGTGCCTTTAAATTAATAATTTGACATGCGATTTTGATGGCCAATATATCCTTATTTGGATACAGATTGCATGTACTTTTATCAGAAATTTAGAGATAGTACATGTGTACTCTGTCATCTTTTATGATAATTCATGTTGGGCTGTACTCTATAATATACATATACAGTGTCTGTGGGACTGTAAAATTGTGTTGTTAAATTGTTTCATGTTCTTTTGCTAGGTTTGTGGAGCCTGGTGATCTGCCAGAGCAGTTTCCGTATCGAGCAAAGGCACTCTTCGCATTTGAGGAGGTTGATGGCACAGATGTGTGTTTTTTTGGCATGCATGTTCAAGAATATGGGTCAGAGTGTCCTTGTCCAAACACTCGCCGCGTGTATATAGCCTATCTGGACTCGGTGCACTTCTTCCGCCCTCGACAGTTTCGTACTGCTGTCTACCATGAGATTCTTCTGGGTTATCTTGACTATGTTAAACAGCTAGGGTAAGTGTCATTCATTTTGGTTCCCTTTCTACTTTGGCTTATTTGAAAGTCTTGATTCAGGTGTAAATAGTGAAGTTCCGAATAATTGAGACACATTATTATTGTTGTTGTTTCTATACAGAATTTATATTTTTATCAGAATATGGTCCACCAACATGCTCATGTGAACAAAATAATTAACCTGCAGATTTCTCGTAAAGCAGATAAGATGAGTGAGCTACTGTGAGCTTGTCAAGACCTTGGCACCATGAAATTAATTTTCTTTTACGTGTATTCACCCTGTGTGTAATAAATTGATGACAGTAGAATTATAGTCAGTTTTATTGACAAAGAACTAGGTAGTCACATATTGGTAAGTAAATGTAATAATGTCTAATGCTTTTAGGGCAAATATAGGATGTGGTGATAAAGTTGTATGCATTCTAGATCTCAGTACAAGATGAAGGTGATTAGTCAGCTTCATGTTCCAATTATGTAAGCTGTGGGAAGGTCCTCCTCTATTGCCCATTACATAGAGGAATGAGTAAGCCACAAGAATGATGACAAAGAGACAATTTTTCACTCTTACTAGAAATTAACCCCCATTCATATTGTACTGCATTGTGAATTGATTTGGGGATTTGTTTCAAAAACTTTTTTTTTAGTCTTTCTCATTCAACCAAGCTTTCTGCCTTGTTCACCTAATTTGCCTGCACTATTAATAGGTTAATGTACGAGGTCTGTTCAAAAAGTATCGGACCTTTGGCCGGGAAAAATACAATTACTCACCTGGAGGTCTGAAACACTAATCCCCTTCAAAGTACTCTCCTTGGGACTGCACACACTTCTCCCAGCAGTCCTGCCATTGTTGGAAGCATTTCTGAAAGGCCTCGTTGGGAATGGAGTACAGCTGGGCCGTCGCGTTCCGCATAATGTCTTCTCGTGACTCAAATCGGGTCCCTTTCAGCGGCGTTTTCAGCTTGGGGAACAGCCAAAAATCACAAGGAGCCATGTCGGGAGAGTAGGGAGCCTGACGAACCAGAGGAATGTTGTGTTTGGCCAAGAAAGCCTGAATCAGATGCGAAGAATGGGTGGGTGCGTTGTCGTGATGGAGCTGCCCACAGGTCCAGTTGTTTGCGCCTCACAGCATCACGAAGGCGACAGATGACCTCCAGGTAGTACTCTTTGGTAATGTTTTGGCCTTGTGGTGCATACTCGTGATGCACCAGTCCACAGGAGACAAAGAAAACGGTGAACATGACTTTGACGTTGCTGCACACCAGCCATGCTTTTTTTGGCCTCGGGGATGATGAATGTCTCCACTGTGACGACTGCACCTTGGTTTCCGGGTCGTACCTGTAAACCCATGACTCATCACCGGTGATCACGGTGTTTAGAAACTCGGGGTCGCCGTTTGCGCAGTCCAGCATGTCCTGCGAGACTTCCAGATGGAGTTGCTTCTGCTCCATCGTTAGCAGCTTCGGCACGAATTTTGCGGACACTCTCCACATGTCCAAATCCTCGCTCAAAATGGAATGTACCGAACCAATGCTTATCCCCACCTTGTCCGCAAGTTCTCGGACGGTGACACGACGGTCCTGCATGACCAAAGTCTGCACTTGGTCAATGACCTCATCATTTCAGCTTGTTGAGGGCCTACCAGAACGTGGTTCGCTCTCCACCAACGTGCGGCCATCTTTGAAGCGGTTATACCTCTCCTTAATTCGTGTGATGCTCATGGCATCGTCGCCGAAAGCCTGCTGAATCTTCTGAATGGTTTTCACCACTTGGGTATCGCCAAGCTTTTGGCAAAATTTGATGCAATACCGCTGCTGAAGTCATTCCATCATTTCGCGGTAAATGAAAATCCGACGGGCGTTCACTACACTCACTCACAGGCTGACTGCCAGCGACTGACGCTCTCTGCGGGCGGGGAAGAAAAATTAAGGTCCGATACATTTTCAACAGACCTGTATGTATGATTGTTTGTTCTCTTAACTGCAGGTATACGATGGCACACATCTGGGCGTGTCCCCCCTCAGAAGGAGATGACTATATCTTCCACTGTCACCCTGCCGAGCAGAAGATTCCTAAGCCTAAACGGTTACAGGAATGGTACAAAAAGATGCTGGACAAAGGCATCATTGAGAGGATAGTTCTTGACTATAAGGTATGAAATCACAAGATCTTTTTACAGTTATATTGCTGGCACATTTGTTCAGTTTTTTGTATTTTTGTGTTGTGTTAAGGTTATACTGGACGGGCACAAGTCAAAATTAAATTCATCCGACTAGATATGGAGATGGAGCATATAGACAAACGTGAACTTTCCATTAATTCCTTCATTTTGTACACTTTAGGCAAAGATGCCATAAACATCAAAATTTGTGTTGCATTCTTAAAAAAAGTAAATTATTATACAACTCTGAATTACATATTTTTATAAGCATGTAAATTGGTGTATTTTAATGAAATACAACATTGAAGTGATCGTGTATTGGTTGTCAGGATATCCTCAAACAAGCAGTGGAGGATAAGCTAAGCTCTGCAGCAGAACTTCCATATTTTGAAGGAGACTTTTGGCCCAATGTTCTTGAAGAAAGCATCAAGGAATTGGACCAGGAGGAAGAAGAAAAGAGGAAACAGGCAGAGGCAGCTGAGGCAGCAGCTGCTGCAGCCAATGTGAGTTCAGCATCTTTTCACTATCCTCTTGGTATCACTAGTTGTTGTAGTTATGTTAGGTCAGGTTATTTATATAGGAGGTATTTGGAGGAAGGAAAGTGTGCATTATATTTGGCAATATGGTAGTCCTTTGTGTGAAGGCAAGTAAAAGTGACTGGTTGTATAATTAGGAGACCTGTTAGTATTAGTTATTAACTAGGCATAAGTGTGAGTGACGTGCAGAACATTGCATATACTTGTAGAATAGTGCAGAATATTGTATGTTATATATCAGAGGAACACCATTGTAAGGATGTGTTTAAATTATTAAAGTAGGAGATGGTTATAAATTATACTGATAAATTTGTTAAATCCACCATTAGTAATTCTGTGAATTTTATTTTCAATAATAGACAAAACTCTGGCCACTTTCAATGGTGATCCCATTCTTCCCAGTTCCAGAAGGACACCTGTGAGAACAAACTGCTGAACATCCTAAATTTTGGGGAAAGAAGAGATATTTTCTCATAATGGACCATTATTATGGGATTCAAATCCCCTGACATTTGAGGGACGTTCAGTTTTAGTGAGCTGGCCATTCAAATTTGTGCAGTGTTGCTCAGTTAAGAGATGTCTGGCTGGCCACTGTGAATTGCAGATGTAAATATCACATATGCTCAGACAGAACATCAGTGATTCAAATAAAACATTGGTGTCAGGCAAATGCATAGAGGCTTTCTGAATTTGCAGGTGCAACTCCCTTGTTTCCTGGCCCAAGCAGTTTGTGTTTGCATCAGTTAGTTTCACTGTATTTAAATTCTTTTTTAAGATAATTATGTGTTTCATAACTTACCACATGATGTATCTACATTACAGATTAAAAGCAGTGTCATATTCCAGTAGTTTGAGAAATGCACGGTGGTATTTGTGTGAAGGTTTTAGTTTATTTAATTGAGGCATCTTTCATTAAGCCAGGTGGAAGCACTGGTGGTGCTGATGGTGACATGTACAGTGTTATCTGTAGCCAGGCTGATAAAATGGTATTCATTGTATATAATTTCTTTAAAAAAATATGTCTGAATAACAAACAAAAGTGTCAAGACCTAACAGCTGAAGCTTGTGGAGTGAGTACGAGTGCTTCTTGAACATGCAGGGAGGCAAAGATGTTGAACAGTCCTGTTGTTTTCATGGCACTGAGAAAGATCATCGCATTTCAAAGAGAGCAACCAGTCTAGATTATTTTGAGAAAGATGTATGTTGAACCATGTTTCAATTTTATGACAGGTGAATTTAAAAACTATGAAAGAAACAAGACTTTTTTAGTCAGAAAAAATTTAATATTAGGGCTTGGTTTCTTCTGCACTAAGAATACTGAAATGTTAGGCTTCAGGTATAGTAAAAGTATGTTTGATTAATCTGCTTTATGCTTGTTCATTATGTTTCTCTGTTAGGATGCAGACATGTGTGTGTGTCTCTGTCTCTCCAAATATTATCTTTGATTGCTGCTTTGAGCATGCATGTGCTGGCAACACTGTGTTAACTTATGTCATTGGCTGTCGCCAAACATCAGGAGATTTTAATTGTATATTAATTTTAAACTGATAAAATTGATTTTTTTCTCCCCAGATCTTCTCACTTCAAGAAGAAAGTGAATCAGGACCTGATGGTAAAAAGAAGGGCCAGAAAAAAGCAAAAAAGTCCAACAAGTCAAAAGCCAATCAGCGAAAAAATAGTAAAAAGTCCAACACCCCTCAGACAGGCAATGATCTCTCGGCAAAGATTTTTGCCACAATGGAGAAGCACAAAGAAGTATTTTTTGTAATAAGGCTACACTCGGCACAGTCGGCAGCCAGCTTAGCGGTGAGTACCATATTCTTGGGCACACAGAAATATTTTGATATTGATACCACTTAACAGTCCCAAAAATTTGTGAAAATATTTGACAGTGAAATTTATGCAATTAGACTTTTGAAATACTATTTTGATATTGATATGAAACCCTATGGATGTGTGAGTCTTGTATATCAGATTTTGCCAGATGTTTTCCCAGAAACTGTTCAGTTTAATTTTCCATCTTTTTGACTGTTTGTGAACATAGGATATCCCCCCCCCCAATCTGCCACATTGAAATAAAAAATGAAAATTTGAAAGAAAAGCTTGGTCTTCTATCTGAATTGTGTATGTGTACAGCATATGACCACAATAAGAAGGCCAATAGGTGCTTTCTAATTCAAATAACTTCGTACAAGAAGTTTCCATAATACGGCTTTTTTTCTTTTCTTTCTATATTACTATCAGAAGTTCTTATAGGCATAACATAAGTTGGGTTGCTTTGTCTCAAAAGTATTAACAATTTTGTTTTACTTGCAGATTTTCAAACTTACTATTAGGGACAATACACTTTTACTTTTAGATTTAAAAATGTATAAAAGAGAAAAGCATAATCTGATAGTATCTCATCTGAAGTAACACATGAAATTATGATCAAACATGAAAGACATTGAAGTTTGTGTATGTCACAGTTTTGTGGATTATGTTTTTCCCCCCAGCCAATTCAGGATCCAGATCCATTCATCAATTGTGATCTGATGGATGGACGTGATGCATTCTTAACCATGGCACGTGAACGTCACTATGAATTCTCGTCACTGAGAAGAGCCAAATTTTCGTCCATGTCAATGCTGTATGAACTCCATAACCAAGGGCAGGACAGGTTCGTCTACACCTGTAACAACTGTAAGGGTCATGTGGAGACACGGTACCACTGCACAGTCTGTGATGTAAGTATTTGTGTAAATTGTTTAAAACTTACACCAGTTTACCATTCATTACTAATCTATATGCACATATTTGTTTCATTGTTTAATTAATAATGACTGTTGTTTGAATATGTGAAAGTTTCATTTATGTTTTGAAAATGAGGAACAAAGATGAACACAGTGGACTGAGTTGAATGCACCAAGATGAATCTTTAAATTTTAAATACCCTTAAAGGTAATACTGCAATTTACTGGTATGTGAAGAAGTTGGCTCTGCAACAGGTTTGTCTAGGAGGAAGGAAGACAACATGAATGTTTTCACAGTCTTAGTAAATTGTTATTTATTAGTTATGATTCTCATATCATATGTATTGAATACTGTCACTGACTGGACTGTGCCCATACTTGTACAGTGGAATTGTTTTCAAGATTATCAGGAGACCAAGCAATTCAAACTTCTTTTGTGGAAAAATATCTTAATAGAACAGAAATTACCAAAATGGAAAAGGCCTTTATCAGAATTAAAGATGGATGGATAACTCCTTAGGTTTTGTTGTTTTTAAGGTGTGCCTGAGTGCCAGTCACTGGAAAGTCTAATAAATGGGTTACCAAGTTATCATCTGGAAGGGGAAGTTGCAAAAGATATTGTGTGAAATGTTCTATAAAATTAAAATGGGGTTCTTGTGTGGGAAATCTTTTTACGTGGGAAACGTTAAGCATTCATTAGCCATGTGGTAAACTTTTGGGGCCAGGTAATTTTGAATGTCGTACTCTTGGAAACCTTTTAAGTGTGTGTGTGTTGCCTAAAGCCCACACAGCATTGCAAGTTGGAAGAGAGAGGGTCCGGTTCTTGGCTCTGTGGTTAGTTATCCTAACAGGTGTTCATGGTTTACCTCAGTCCAAACACATGCTAGGATAGTACTTTCGTGAAGACCTCATTATCATTACTTCCCACATTTACAATGATTCCCCCATTTTGCACATTTTAACATCAGCAGATATTGGAGTGTCATGAAGTAAACTAGAAACAAATCATATAATTTGAAAGGAAATGTTGAATTTAAATTGTACAGTAGTTGAAGTCTGTAATAGTTTCCAATCTTCAGTAGTTCCTGCCACTCCCACCCCCCATCATCACCCCAACCCCTACAGAAACAGAAACAGAAAAGAAAGGATTGTAATCGTTTTCATACTACTTTGAATATGGAAGTATTTGACCAAGAGGTCTAATGTTTAAATATGTTCCAAAATGGATTATTGTTGTGTTTCCCTTAGCAGTTATTTTTATTCAGTTTTTCTTATCCTAGTTCTAAGTTGAAATGCATTTTAGAACTTGCAGGGTTAGAGATTTTCATCAGAGGTGTTCCAGTATATATGTATATCTCTGTTTTTTACAGGACTTTGATCTCTGTGTACAATGCTATGAAAAGGATGGTCATCCACATAAAATGGAGAAACTGGGACTGGATTTGGATGATGGTTCATCACCATCAGATCAGAAACAGGCTAATCCTCAGGTTTGTATCATTCAGTCTTTATGACAGCATTTTTAGGAGTGCTTTAAAGTATTATTATGATTGAAAATGTATTTATAGAAAGTAACCAGTTTATTCAATTCTAAAGGGTTCTGATGATGGTGGATTGCACTTAAAATTATTCACTATCTGGATTTTTTTCATCATCCAGTGATGGACCCAACTGAGTAGGTACCTCCCACCTGAAGACGGAAATAAAGCCAGTTTCCGAAACATGATTTGTCCTTTTAAAGAAGGACAATGGAAAAAGTCTAGTTAGTGAATAATTTTAAGTAATCAGTTTAGTTCACCACAGTTGTAAGTTCTGATCACCACCACCACCACCAACTCTTTAACATTTACAATTTACATTTAATTGTGGTTTATACAGAAAAGTCACACTTGTCGCTGTTTAGTAGCATGTTCCATTAGTATGTTGGTGACTTCATGTTCCACTTCCGCTTTCCATCAGGTTTTCATCTCCCAAAATGATTATTTGTTACTTCTGTGGTGTTGGTTGGGATTCTGTTTTATTCAATCTTATATTCATTATAGTTGTGTTCTAGTTTTTGCCTTTGTTTCTTTCAAAGTGGTTTCCTGTTACTCTGTAAATAACTGTTGTGAGACATTATTTTATATATCTTTGTAGCATTTTACCTTAATTTTATAATTAATTTCTTCACTTAGTTGTGTAACACTTCATCTAAACTGCTTTTTTTTTCTGTAGGAGGATTAAGTGGTTCAAAATGTATTAATAGATTTTAATTTTGGGTTTGTAGGAAGCAAGAAAGCTGTCAATTCAGCGTTGTATACAGTCCCTGGTGCATGCTTGTCAGTGTCGTGATGCTAATTGTCGCTTACCAAGTTGCCAGAAAATGAAACGTGTGGTTCAACATACTAAGATCTGCAAACGGAAAACTAATGGAGGTTGCCCAATCTGCAAACAACTCATAGCCCTATGTTGTTACCATGCGAAGCATTGCCAGGTAAGTGTTTAGATTTTGAGAAAACCAACAAAA